TTTGATCTTCTGTTTGTCAGTCTCTTGGCTATCTTATTCATAAGTAGTATGAGTAGTCAATTTTAGTTTTGTGTGTGCGCTATCACAATAGATGTGGTCCATAAGACTGAACCACCTTTTGTCTGATAGGTTGGCCATAAAGGATCTCAAGAAACTACTTCATTTAATCAAAGACTAGAATAAGTGTTCAAAAAGAGAAGGAATGGTATAACTTTGTAAGTAAGGAAGGGGCAGTCTGAATTATTTGAGATACTTAGCATTTTGGAAATGAGCAGGTTGTTCTGCCATGCCTGGTGTCAAAAGAAACAGTGGTTTTGTCACAAGGTGGGTTAAATTATTGTCCGTTGCCTCTCATCATAGATTTATCATCCACATTTGAAAGGAAGAATGGGAGACTTCAATTTAGTTAGTATGTCCCACTCAGAAAAGAAAGTGATCCATTTATATAACTAAGGCTTTACCTTTGAAGTCAAAATCTTGTGTACCAGAGAGATTGCTTTGTGTAGGATGTGTTATGGTCTGTGACATATCAGTGACATTTTATGAGACATCTGTTCCCTTTTTTTGTACTCAAAGTTTGTTCTTACTAAATATTAAACAGGCCCATTGAGAGAATAGATTTATTTGGGTAGAAAGCTGACTTCTTTTTTCCTTTTCTGAAGCCAAGCTAATTAATTCCTGTTCGTGGGGAAATTTGTATTTATTTGAAATTGACTGTAGAGCATGTACAGAATTTGGTGTCTACAATGCTGTAATATGCTGCAGTGTTGCCAAACTGCCAGCCCAGCTGCTCTGGATCTCTGGTGAGTGGCCATATGTGATCGCTGCAAGAATACTTTAACTGTAGACCTCTGTCCTCAAGCTAAGTGGTGATTATTCTTCATGTGTTTCAGTTTCTGAAATGGGCTGCAGCTTGACTACTCTTTCCCATCCCCTCTGGCTATTCCATTTGTTTTTTAACTGACCAGGGCAACTGTCCAAAATGTTGTCTGTTTTGATTTTTCCCATTTATGGTGATTGCTCTCTTCTGTGCGACTCTACAGCATGGTCATTGGTTTGCAAAGGTTTATGTTTGGTACCCATTTCCAGCTCTCATGGTTCA